TTCACGCGAAATTATTGGTACTTACATAATGCATTAATGCTAATATATTAATAATATCATAACTGTTAATTTAATTACCGTTAACACTACAGATACTCCTCTGCAAAAATTGCAGAAGTAGAGGACTACAGCAGCGGTCAACAAGAGATATGTAAAAATTCTGTCATCAATGGGCTAGGAATTTTCTTCCGGATTCATATCCGGGCGTTCATTCCTATACACATATAGTATCATACTGTTGAATCGTCTTTGGTGATCTCGCGGAGGATTTAAGAAAAGTACTGGCACGTCGCGTCGTATATACATCGCGAGGAGTGTAATCGATTCCCGCCGACGTAGACGAAATCCGTGCGTGACCGGTATACGTACTCGGACGCGTTTTTCTGTCGTCTCCGTTGTTAAACAAACCATAGGTACGCGCCGCGCGGTAGGCCGACCGAAGACCAGCAGACAGCAGTACGAGTAGTAATAGTAATAATAGTAATAGTCGTAGTAAAATATAAAAAATAAATTATATACACCGATATAAAATATACACAAGTATAATAATAATAATAATAATATTACAGTGCCGCCGCCGAGTAGTATATACGATATACCTGTTGTAGGTAATGTCTTTCAGTGGCGGCGGCAGCGCGTAATATTATTTTTTTTCTTAAAGACCGTTTTTTCCTCCTTTTCCTTTTTCCGGTGTGCGCGCGTTTTAATTCCAATAAGCGTCCTAGAGAAGGAAAAAAAAACTCCCACGATTCTTTTATGAATGAAACGACGACGCGCGCGAGGAAACAACGCGCAACGGCGGTCGATATATATAATATATATATATTAAAATATTTACCTATATATACATATATATATATGACGATGTATACCCATAGTTATTATAATATAAAATGTATATTATCGATAAAAAAATTTACCCTCTCCCTCCCCACCACTGCGTATTTCAAAAGGGCAATGTGAGAATCGTTTCCACCGGTGAGCCGTTTCACGACCCGCAATGCACACGCGCGTCGTAGGTACATTATATTATATAGATACCAACCTATTATAATAGTATTGCTGCTGCTGCTGTTGCTGGTGGCGTCGACGTTTCATGAATGAAAACCGTCAAGTCATCATCACGCTAAACATTTATAGCTCATATACATATAATATACCTATATTAACGAACACACACGTATATATCTTTTGTTCATTCTATTGTTGTGATCGGTCTTGGGCAAAAAAAAATTTTGTCGTTTATTTTGTTTTATGGAAACACCGGAAACGTGGAAAATTATCCCGCTCAACAAAATACACTTGCACGCACACACACACACACATATATACGAACACAAGAGTGCGCACCCCCGCGCACGTCCGAAAATGAAATAACGCTATTTGCATCAATGCATTTCGATTTTTAAATACTTATTCTTAGTTCTTTCAATAAAATCGTGTCCATAAACTGTTAAAATAATACACATATACATGCACACTCACAAACACTAACACACACACACGACCATGTGAAACAAAACACAATGTCGGTGGATCGAATTTTACGTGTATTATTATACAAAACTGGTATTAAAATTTAAAAAATATCGCGGTGGGAATTCTTCTGTTGCTACTATTTATATGTACTATTGTTGTCTCCGGTCGTCGCCGAAATTGATTGATTTATGAATATTATTATAATTCCACAAATTCCCGGGTCCGCTCTTGGTGGACATGTAAATTTATGTCACAGTTGCCCCGTCCGTAACAATCGAATCGATTTTTTTCTCTTTGTACACATACGCAATCATTATAATACTATTATACAATTTTATCAGTTCGGTCGGTTTGTTCAGCTGTGCGCACGTATAGAATAATATAATAATAATAATATGTAAGAGTGTCTATAGAGGCGTATTACAGGTATACACGATATTATAGCATAATATAATACACATCAAATGCTTACATATTATGGTTATTATTATTATTATTATGTGGATACAGACATACTGCAGCGGTACACTAAACCAGAAACACAACCGAGCAAAACACATACTGGGATAATTCTTGTACCAATCGACTAAATAATGTACATAATATTATATGTATACATTTATGAATATCATGCGGAGACTACGTATATATGGAATTTTTTAGGCAAACGGTGGTGTGTGTGTGTGTGCGGTTAAGTTAGTATATCTACCGGAGAAGAAGAAGACGTCGTGTTATAAATGTTCGAACGTATATATGACGTGCAGCAGTAGCAATATATATGATATAACATATTATATATAACACAAAGTCAGCGTATATATAGTTTGTAATAAAGACCGATAGCCATCCCTCTCCTTCTGCAGGTCCACCAAATATATATGTGAGTGTGTGTGAGCTCGCGAATATACACATATAGTGACCGGTCGCGCGTTATCCATAAAAGTCCGCAAAAAAACGAGCCCGGTGGGAAAACTCTCGCCCCTATCATATATATATATATATATTTATATATACTATATACGGAGAAGACAGACGGAGAGAGAAATATAGAGAGAAAAAGACCTCAGCATCCACGGCAGYAGCCCCGTAGACCGTATACTAACTTCATGTGCCGGAACACAGTGAAATCAGAATAATATACACGCGGGGTACACACACATAGGCAAACCCGCACGGACCAACTAGTGTGGGTGGGTGTGTGTGTGTGTGTGCAGACGGCGGCGAGCGGAATAAAGTCATCGTCGCGGCGACGGAGGCACTGCCTGCACCACACACATGCCCTTGGGACGAATAACACAAATAGGACCTACACACACTATATGCTCTCTTATATATACGCGGGTGTAATAGCAGTAACAACAGGGCAGTAGTAGTGGTAGTTGTAGTATTATAGTTTTCATGGATTTACTCAACGAGTCAGAGTCGTAATTTTCGTCCGTCCTCTCCCCGCCGCCGTTCCACTCGCACGCAAACACACACATATATATGTATGTTATTATACATATAACACTACAACAACAGCGAAATTTATATATACCTATATACATATACATAAATGTATGTGTTATGTGTATGTTATGTTATGCTTTGAGATTTGTATTACGGCGTGTTGTGGTCACAACGAATTTTATTATTATAACTCCAAACCTCGCTCCGGTTTATTATTATGTGTCATCGCTAGACGCATCAGAAAGAGTGTAAATAACACATAAAACAAAAACCGAAAACGGTTTTCCACATATATACACGCCTCGCGTGTATATAAAAATATAAATAAAAATGTATATATGCTCAGGACGAATATATGTGCCTCGATAGTGTCTTTTATATTCAAAACCATTTCCCGTGTACAATAATATTACATTGGGTGCATATACCAAGTATGTATCGGTTTGTTCAAAATCAAGTATTAAATTGTATTTCCCATGATGATTATTATTTATTTTTGAATGTCTGATTTGATAAGGATTGCGATGAAGCAAAAAATGAACTTTGTTTTAAACACCATGTTTCAGAAAACAAATTTTTAGCCGCAATTGATWAATAAGTAAAAATATGTTAGTATTAAGACGTGAGTTATTCTAACAACGACATAACTTCTGGAACATTTTATCGTTTCCGATTTTATTGTAACTGAATTATAATGAGTTATCAGCGAATAGTTGTTAAGTATAGGGTAAAATATAGCGTAAAACAAAAAACTTTCCAACGCCGTTTTTGAAACATGAAAACAATTTATTTATTTTATTTGTATATAAGTGAATAAAGTTATTCCGTCCAACTAAAGTTCAAATTATTTGTGAATACTAAATGTGTGGAATTTATCATGAATTAATAAAGTTTTACGGTACAACGAATTAATTTATACATTTGAAGATAAAAGTTTATAATGAAAAATGTAATATCAGTAATATTACCGAAAATTAATCATTAATAAATTAATTGAACAACAAACATAAAATATACATTATAAATAAAAAAAACAAATATTTCTTTATCATCTTTCTATATTCATTAGTGTTTATATTTAAATTTTTTTAGTTATATTACACTATATAAGTATACTATTTATGCAGAAATTATTCGAAAATAATATTTTTTGAAATATTTACTCAAAATATCAATGTATTACTATTTACTATTCTTAATTAAAGTCTAAATTCCGGTTGATTATTAGAATTCTATATTTATCTAAAAAATGTCATTCAAACATAATAWTTTATCAATTTGCATACGACATAGATAAACCTTAGCAATACAATGCCAACATCCTACGGCAATTTAATTGTATTGCCAGCAACTATTGTAAACACCATCATACCTACTTGATTTAAAGATTAAAGGTACATGCAAATAACTATGTTTAAAGGGATAGTAAGTTTATTATCTCGTCAAGTATTACAGTATTGCTATATTAGAGATCATTTTATACAGTATATTTTACCTATCATAGTAAAATTATCAAATCGATAATGATTCMGACTGTGCAGTATTTTCAATACGACGTAATAAGCACATAATATTGTGAATTTTAGTGTGATATAAAACATTATCATGTTTCTATAGTAGAAAAATGGAAAGACTGAGTACTTAAAAGAGTGTAAATTTTATCGAGCGTTCTAAATAATGCTTAAGATATAATATTATATAGAAATACAGGTACTTTTASGGTCGTAAAAGTGATAATTTTATCGATATTTCCTACGGTTCTCTAAAAATATATTTTACAAATCATCAAGTTATCGCGGCGACGATGACGGAGACTTTAAACGGTAAGGTACTTGAATAATCACACGCCGGATGATTGACGAAAAGGTTAGCATTCGCGTGGGGCAACAAAAATACGTACGCGGCGGTGTGTATGCGTGTGCCCCCCATAACGTACCCCTTTAACTACATAGTGCTCCCTCCCCGATCGGAGACGACTTGACAGACAATATTCGGACCATAATAATGGATACTACCTATTTTATATTGTTACGATTAACAGGTATAATTGAGTTTTATTTTTAGGTACTCACCGTCATCGAAACGACGCGTGGACGTGGATACGTGGTGCCCATTGACTACGACGGGCGYGTCTGGTTCTCCGAGGGAGACGCCGCTGGTGCACTCTTCCTCTGACCCGTCCTCGAGGACCTTGACCGGTCTGGACTGCTTTCTGCGGGACATGCGGACGACGGCGATTGAGCTTTTATGCGGATACGAGAATGACCGACGCGATGACGGATTTACGTTTATCGTGTGTATTGCGATTTTGACGGTTATTGATGATTAGGCGGATTATTAAAGCGTCTTGAGTTTCGGCGATGATGCTGTTTGAGGTATCGTGCAAAATCGGAAACGATGGCRAAAAACGGAAAAGCCGCTGTTATTTCGCGCGGTYACTACGGTGCGAACGCCGCGGCGTCATCGGACTCGTCACCGCCGCAGAAACCCATCTCGTCAGGGTAGGGCGGGCACCTGCACCGCCGGGCGCCGGTCGACTCTCGTCGATACTGCAGCCGGAGCCGTTATAATTTGTACGCTGAAGACACGGAAATAAAAATAATTATGAAGAAAAAATTAAACTAGCGATTATTAATTAAACAATGATTTATAAAAAAAAACAAAAAATGTTAAGACGCGTGAAAACGTAAAAAATCTGCTAATACTAGAACCACGAAATGTACAAAACGGCAATGATGAAAATTATAATATTATAATAATAAAAATAATGATAACGATAATAAAAATAATTACAAGTAATGTACGTAATAATTAAAAAATAATTGAAAAAAAAAATGTACCACTGTTGTATTACGTTGTTTAAAAATAAAAACGAATTGCACGCGCGCACGAGACGAACACAACGACTCGTTCGGCAGCGGAGTGGCGAGTGAGACGACGGTACGGTTTGCCGGGACGCCGGTGAGCGCGGCGCGTCGTCGTTGTCGTGTGTGTGCGTTCGACTCCGGCCGCCAACGTCGGTCGAGAGAGAGCGCGTGCGTAAGGACAGCACGGTGGGGGTGACGGACGGGCTGGCGGGCGGCGTGTAGAAGACTGGCGCTACAGCGCTAAGCAAGAGAGATGGATCACGGGCGACCGACCGGTAAGCACGCCCGAACGAGACTGACGGATGGGGGACGGCGCGGCGGCGGCTGTGGCGGTGGCGGTGGTGACGCGCGCGCCTTTTCCTCGCCAAGGCAGCGGCGGCGGAGGGCCGGGTTAGTGGGGGTCGTGGCCGGCCGGTGGGCGTGCTCGTCGTCCCGTCCAATGGATGACGAACCCCGTCGCCGCCGACGACGACGGCGCGGCGACGGTGGCCGCCGTGGCGACTGTACCGCCGCCGCGGAAAATGAAAGAAAATATTAATTTCCGGGCGCCGCCGATGCCACCTCTAATATTATAAAAATCGTCGTCTTTATACTCGTGCGCGCGCCTCCCGCGATGAATTAATATAGTATTGGCATTCGATTATCCTATAATATCTACAGTTATAATTAAATTATAAAAATWATTTTAAGAGTARGTATAATATATACTTTCTATTATTGGACTGCGCTGTGAGACGATGTGTAATGTACTAGGGTACCTACCTATAGATATGCTCATTCTTTTTTTTTTATAAGTAAGTATACGTACACTATTACTACTATATGGGTAGTAGATACCTACACATTATGTAATATTATATGCACTATGTTGACCTTTTATAAATATATATATAAAGGAGTATACAACTCTGGTATAAAGTTAGACTTATTATTTATGAAACTAATTTCATTTTAATTTGCCTGTATATATTTTATATATATATATATATACGAACATTCTATAATACGTAGGTACTATTATTTATAAAATAATTATCTTGCAAATTGCAGTTCAGGAATCTATCTAATAATATAATAGGAGTACCTACCAACTGTATAATATAATATGGGATAGTGTTTATGTGTATAATATTTTATTATAACCAAAGAACTCTTATAATTGGTGTGGTTATGGAATTTGTATTTCCACTARGTATAGTTTACAATAATTCTCATTTTAAAARCTCCTAACACTGCTGCGCAGTAMAACACCACATATACATGTAAGCAGACTGCAGTTGAGTGGGTATATATGGAAAAACAAAAGGTACTGGTATATATATATAATTATAACGAAGGGCCTATTTATATAAAWGACGCAAATTCCAATACCAGCCATAAAATATATATAGTGATTATACGACTTATGTTTATAAACTTAATAATACACAATAATATGTAGGTACTCGTGTATTCAATTTGAACTATATATATATGTAGGTATAATGTTTATAATATAAATTATATTATATATAGTCTCTACAAAACTATTTAATGATATATATGCAAATGGATAATATGGATGCACGCGCACGGTATTATAATTTATATGCATATAACTATATACGCACATTATATATATATATATATATAATAATATATAACACGTAACTAAAAAATGTGCATGATACACTGCGGTAAACGTACATTACATAGGTTAGCCTGTGTTATATGTATTTTAAAAGGGTAAAAATTATTATTTTTACATTTTATACAATTCTGTATATATACCTATAGGTTACATTATATTKTACTAGTTAAATATATATTATAGATAAATCTGTCTATATACTTTCGCAGTTCACACTATATATATTATATGRCTGTCTGTATACTCTATACACACCACGAATTAAGTATATATACCTTGTATATATACATGTGATTATTGTGATTTGTCAATCTTCATGAAAAATATAGGTAACATTTTTATTATAATTATATAAATATGTAAAAAAATAATATAAGACTATAAAAAGTACCCACCTGCAATGCGATTTGTTTTTTGTATGACTTAAATAATATAATACAACACAAATATATTTGAATAATTGAATTATAGTTWTAGGTACTTCTTTCCCCCCACAAAAATCAAACATTAAAAATTAAAAATATGTTGTTAAAGATTCAACGGAAATTAAGAATTTAAACGGATGAAATAATGCATGATGTACCTATATACTCCAGTTGTTGATATCTGCCATAGGGTATGAGAATAATTTTAAATCATGTTTAGTGATAAGACATGTAATGTGATTTATATTTTTAATATAAATTAATACAGCACTTGTGCACTCTAAAGCGTGAAAAACTACCTATACCTATGTTATATAAACAGTATCAGTGCGCATTTTTTTCTAAAATTCATAAGTGCTTACCTACCTACCTAAGTTATGGAAGTAATCGAGATTCAAGTTTAAATTATTTACAATTAATATAATATAATATATAACGTCATTTTTATGGCTTTTTCCCAATTTACTCGTACAAAATGTTAGATTTTAATTAAAAGTTTTCACTAAACTATAAATACGATGGAGGAATTTATAATAATTAATAACTAATAAGCAATGATTAAAAAATAAAATAATTTATTATAACTTAAGCATCAAAAGTAAAAGTGTACCTATACCTATACATATACAGTTGTTATTTATAATTTTATATAATATAACCATATAAAAGTTATACTATGTATAGTACTTGGACCACAGAAATTCATCATCAAATAACCATCTTTAATTCTAAAAAAATGATTCATATCTATTATAGGTACCTACATAGCTGGTATATATATACTTCGTGGAAATTAATAATTATTTTTTTCAATCACACATTGGTATAATATACTTCTTTTTATTATCTATATAAATGAATATAAACCTTATACCTATTTATCAAAATCATATATTATATATTATACAATAACAAAATTACAATTTTTAGCTATATATCCTATATATATGTTGAAACAACAAGATAAATTTGATGTTCAGAGCTAAGCTCAACATAGAAGACAACCTGGAAGAAGCTCTAAGTCCTCAGTCAATCAACATTGAAAAATTAATTAATTATTTAAAACAAACTAAACTTTACCAACTAATTTAATCTAGATATATTGCAATCCTTTATTTTCATAATACTATTATTATTGTTATGTATATATTATTGTTAAGCTCCATTCTTGTGTAAACAAATATTAATGCTTAAGGCYAATAACCTTTGTTGTTGAGGCTCAATTAAAATAAAAATAAATTTGATATCTTAATTATTACCAATTATATATATTATTTATTATTGTACGAGAAATTTATTGCAGGGCACACTATGTTATAGCAGGTATCTTATATTATCTATGATAAATTCGGATAGCTTTATAATGATAGTTATTATAATATATCGCTATAGCTATATATGTATAGGTACCTTCAGATAGGTATTTATAACTTAAAGATTATGGAAATATATTGACTTCAGTCCAAATTTTAACTTTTAAATAAGAAATTAACTCATTTATATTGTTCTTGTCTATTGTATATTTATATACATACGTACATTGTGCTCTGTTGAATTGTCTTTAACGGCCAAGTAATTAAAAAATGTAGGTAATATTCTTTGGAAATTATCCGGGCGGCCAAAATCGGCTGAAGTAATTCAAAATATATTAGGACATACAATAAGTAAACCCAGAGAAACGCGATGGAATAGTTCATACGACTCATTTTGACAAATATTAAGCATTAAAAATAATATTTTAAATTTAAACAGAACTCTTGAAATAAATAACAAACATTGTTTAAGCGCGGGAACAAGACTTTCATTACATTGAAGAACACTCAAAGTGTACAGCTCCAATTTCGGAAGCATTATATATATAATRCAAGGCGTGAGAAAAATACATATTATTATGGTGTAAATAACTAATACCATGCCTATTAGCGTTGAGAAGAATAATACTACTTGGATATACTGTAAACCTATAACYTATATAATCAATGCGTTGTTAGAAAGTATTGAGAAAAGATTTGGAAATTATTTAAATTTTACTACTCCCGAATCTTTAAATGCTGCTATAGTAGCATTGTCTTATCTTCGTTTTAAAAAACGTTGGTTGACATGCGTTAAAACGGAATTTCATGACAAGCTCAAAATTTWAAAAAAAAACAGCCAATGAAATACTAGTTGAAAAAAATACACCATTATAATTAAAAATCGCCTGAAAATCAAACAACTGACGACTAATTGACTTTGGATCTTCTTCTTTGACGTATGCCTAACCAATATACCAAAATCAGGATCAAAAGTTTTACTTTACTTCGCTGATGAAGAAAATTACCTTCAAAATCTAAACAAATATYCAACAATCAAACAAGTATATTTATTCATTATAATACTCCGCTTCCGTCGTCAGCTTCGGTAGAAAGACTCTTTTCATTTGCTACAATAATGACGAATCAACCAAAAAGCCGCATAAACTATGGGATAATTTTTTTGAAAAACGTATCGTGTTAAAGGCAAATATAAGTACTATAAAAATATTTCAAATCCTAAATTACTTTGAATATCATATTAGCATATACTATMAATATTTTGTATTAACATTATTGAATTATTACAATGATTGTTACTAAATAATACCTATATACTAATTATTATGCATAAATAAATTAAATTTATTATTTTAATTATATTATTATTATCATTCTATTAATTATTACATTTACAATAATTTTGCTATAAAAAAATATTTTGTTCCTAAAATGCATATTTTATCAAATGCGTTGCTGTAAAATTCATTTTGTAATTCATTTTTATTCTTAAACTATATAATAGATATAAAATACAATAATTATAGAAATACTAATAAAGATTAATCATGATTACAAATGAATACATTTTGTAATC